GCAAGCACTTAGCCATATGGATATAGTTACACGGAAGAATGGAAATAAGGATGAACCATGGTTTTGATGGAAACAATGTGCTCTGGGACGATGCTCACAATGACGAATGGGAGAAACCTCTTTATGAAACATCTTACCTACTAAGGATGAAGCTTAATGTTACGGAACACACACACACACACACACACACACAGTGCAACTTTGTGTGACGCTTTGTTTGACTTGGGGTGGCTTTGAGCGAACCATACACTTGATATTACAATTTATGTATCTTTCCTGTCCATGATTTACAACAATAACTGTTGGTAAAAAGTTACAATATTATACTAATAACACTGTCATGTATTGATACTATGACTAGTTATCAAGATACAGAGCACGATGAATATAACATGATAATGATAGTGCAGCCTGGAAGGGTTCATATCATAACTTGTGTGTTCGTGGGTATGTTGCCCCGTGAGAGTTACTGTGGGCCTCCATGTGCCCAGGTGGGATGGTCAAAGTATTACACTGTAAGTGCGTCAAATGAGGAGTGACTGATCCACATGTAATTTAAGGTTTTTGAAATATGTTGTTAAATTAAACACGATTTTTCATATAGTTACGCGAATGATGGGGTGTGGTGGAAGCATCGTGGTCTGGCATACACACACAAGCTCTGTAAATGTTGTGTGGACTCACTGGGTGGTTTGGAAGTGTTTATTTCCATTCATACTTTCGTAACTAAAACCTATGGTAATTTTTCTTCACGTTCATATATAATGAAGATAATGCAGAGCATAAAATGACATATACAATATTTATACATAATGTCATCTATACAGACGTACTATGACTGTGTGTGTTCGTGCGTGTGTTGCCTCGTGATAGTTAGAATGGGCCCCCGTCCAGAAAGGACACTGTAATAACCTCCAGCACCGACCCAGGTGGGTTAGAGAATATGGTTTCTGAGTGTACCTAGGTGAGGTATGTTTTTTTTTTTTTTTATAGATTAAGGTGGGGAAAGGATGGAAGGCATGGTGGGGCTCAAAGCACAGCTAGACATGAAGGATAAAGAAGTCACGACAGAGTTTGTTGGCTAACTAAGCGAATTCTAGGATTTAGGATGAGGTTGCACTATGGTTACTTTGGTAGACAAGGACTAGTATGATTTTACAATTACAATTTTATTAAAATCTTGTACTGTATTACTTTATGGACTCACTACATTGTGACTTGTTAAATGTGAACTTATATCATCTAAGTTTTAATCTAAAGTGGATCACTGTGGCATACATAGATGGGTCTCAGGTTGGTTTGTTGTAATGCGGGCAGACTCCTTGGCCACCAGGCGTGGTGGGGTCGCTTTCCGTTTATGTCTTCCCAGCGTAGGTGGTCTGGGCTATGAGGGTCGTCCAAGAGCTTGTCCCAAACCTTCTTCCCTAGGCGATGGAACCTAACGTTGAGGGCCTCTGTTTTATTTCTCAGGTGGATGGTTTTCACTGTCTCCTGGTAGGGTGGCGCTTGGCCCATGGCTGACCTCAAACACTTGTTTTGGAAGCTCTGTAGTTGGTGTAATTTGGTCTTCCCGAATGTGACGAGTGGTATATCTGGGTACTCCAACAGTGGCCTCACCAGCGCCTTGTACAGGTAGACTTGTATCTTCTCAGGCATCAGCTTAAAACGTTTTAATTTGGCTGCAGCGACTTTGGCTTTCCTTAGTCTGTCCTTCACGTGGAAAATGATGCCCGTCCGAGATATAATGAGGCCGAGCAACCTGCCTTGTTGAGAGTACTCAATCTCTTCGTAGTCGATCATCAATGACGCCGACTTGAATTTGGCTATGGGTATGACCTAGAATTTGGTTTTTATTTTTTTTATTTTCCATTTATTTTCATACTCCGAGATATCCTCTATTGACCGAGCAGTGAGTTGCGCCATCCTTGCCGTGAGCCTTTCTGGGCAGGTGACGATCTCTGTTACGTCGTCGGCATACATGACGTACTCGCTGCCGACGATTGGGGGTAGCAGGTCAGCCGTGTAGAGCGTGTAAAGAGTTGGTTAGAGACAAGAGCCCTGAGGCACGCCGCTCGAGAGTGAGAATTCTTCTCCACAATGTTCTTGCAACTTGATTTTGGCTCTGCGGTCCGTAATGAATTTGCACAGCAGGTGCATCAGGTTTTCGGGTAGCCCCAGTTGTATGATCTTAAACTGCAGCCCCGCGTGCGAAACTCTGTCAAACGCCTTGCTGACGCCCCTCAGCACAACGTTGCACTGCAGGCGGTCAGTAATGGCGTTGGCGATCTGCTCGTTGGCCTGCTTTTGGTATGAGGCGGATAACAGCGATTTTGAATATCTTAGGGAAGCATCCAGAGGCGAGGCAGGCATTGCATATATGAGCAAGCCTCTCCATCATGTTGTCGGGGAGTTGGGCCAGGATCTTCTTGTTAATATGGCTTTGCCCAGGTCACTCCTCTGTAAACCTTTTATGACGGATGACACATCAGCAGGAGCTATGCGCTTCGTTAGGTAGCTGTCGTCCACCAGTCTAGTGAAGTCAGTCCGTGCGAGCGGCTGCAGCAGGTGTTGATGGTCTTTCAACTGACCTAAAATGTCATCCTCAGACTCCTTGTCGAAGCTCTCGTTCTCCTGCTCACTAATGGTAAAGATGTTCTGTAAATTTTGCCAATGTAATTGTTCTTGGTTTTTTCCTCGAATATTTTCACGTTGTTTTAGTCGAGCAGGTAAGTTTTAAATTGGATAAAATCATGGCTCATCGATAGAACACAGAGGGTCAGCGTAGATGGTTTTAAATCTGATAGCGGCTGTGTAACTAGTGGAGTACCCCAGGGGTCAGTACTGGGCCCACTCGCACATAATCTAATAAACGATCTAGATACTGGGATCAGCAGTGACATAAGTAAGTTTGCGGATGACACCATAATTGGGCGGCATATTAATTCCGGACAGGATACATATGCACTACAGGAGGATGTAAATAAACTGCAGGAGTGGTCAGGAAAATGACAAATGAAATTCAACACCGGTAAGTCAGCGTACTTAATATTGGAAGAATAATTACTGTCAATGTATACAGCCTTAACAACATCAACCTAGAGTAGTTGACTTATGAAAGAGACTTGGGGGTACTCGTAAGCCTCGACTTTCGGCCTAGAAAACAGTGTGTTAATGTTCGAAATAAGGCAAACAGAGTATTCGGTTTTATATCTAGAAGTGTAAGTAATAAGAGTGCGGAGGTCATATTGCAATTATATCTTGAGCTAGTCAGGCCGCACTTGCATTATGCTGTTCGGTTCTGGTGTTCTTATTACAGAATGAATATGAATTCACTGTAGTCGGTGCAGCGAAGAATGACGAAAATGATTCCGGGACTTAGAAGCCTTCCCTATCAAGATAGAATAAAGATACTAAACTTGCATTCCCTAGAAAGACGAAGAGTACGGGGAGATATGATAGAAGTATTTAAGTGGGTGAAAGGAATCAATAAAGTAGATATAGATAAAGTTCTTATAAATCCGAGCAGGATAGGACTCGTAGCAACGGATTTAAGTTGGATAACTGTAGGTTTAGGAGGGAGATAGGAAGAAACTGGTTCACAAGTAGGGTGGTAGATGAGTGGAACAAGCTTAGCAACTTTATAGTAAATGCTGGGACACTGGAAGGTTTTAAAAGGAGGCTAGATCGATTCATGGACGATGGAGAGTGATTGAAACTCTTGACAGGAGCTGCCATGCGCAGGCCAACCAGCCTATTGCAGACTCCTTATTTTCTTATGTTCTTCTTAAGTAAACTCCTGGTTATAGCTAGCGTGTGAACACTTGAAGGGGCAGGACAATACTGTCAGCCAGAAGCTTCCCGAGCCGTTATCTATGATCATAACAACGAAATGCTTGCTGTGCATCCACGAACATCTGGCGAGGCGCGGCCTCAGGCCACCATGGATCACATGGTATGTGAGTCAGAGGTCACGGCGTAAGAGGGCGGAGATAACACTTCCCCGTTGGACACGGGATCTGGACAAAACCCCCACAGGACAAAACCCCCACAGGACAAAAAACCCTTAGACAAAACCCCCTTGGACAAAATCCCCTTCGTCAAAACCCATTCTGTTGGGCAAATGCCAAAAACTCAGAACCTTAAACGGCACCTTTGAGGACAGAGATCTTGGTAACAGGTCGGAGAAACTCACGGACAGCAGTGCCCACACGAACCTGACGGACGAGACCATCTGCACTAGCAATCGCTTCGAGAACCTGACCAAGGGGCTACTTGTCGCGAGGAGGGGTTTCTCCGGTAATGAGAACCAGATCGTTGAATTTGAAGCTACGAACAGGCTGAAAATTTTTCTGCCGCTTGCGGAGAATCGGTAGGTATTCCTAGGTCCTGCTCTGCCAAAACCGGCCTGCCAGAAACTGCGCATGATGCTACCTGGTAGTCATCCGCTGAGAGGAGGGACTGGAGCAGAGTCATGTCTAGGCATATGTAGTGGAGTCAAGGCCTCCGAATCCTTGGCATCAGTTGACACTGCAGCTATTGGGCAGCTGTTAACGATCACTTCTGCCTCACAAAATGATGTCTGTAGTCACTCATCGTCAAACACTTGAGACCTCTCGATTGCCCTAAGCACCGTATGCACTGCTCGGATTTGTCTTCCCCATATACCTCTCATATGTGATGCCGCAAGGGGACTGAACTCCCACTCTATCAATTTCCTATTTCAGAAGATGTTGCAGTATGTGTTTGTCTGCTACCCATTTGCGAGTGGCTGCCCTGAGTTCTTTGCAGGCTCCAACCATGTTTGTGCCAATATCTGAGCGGATGCGTTCAGGAGTACCTTTGCGTGCCATGAAACGGGTGATCGTATTGATGAGAGCGACGGCGTCAAGAGATTTGAGCACTTCCAGATGGACTGCACGGGTTGTCAAGCATGTGAACAGACACCCGTAGCGCTTGTCTGTCTTGCGCCCTTGTTTTGTCTGGAACGGACCAAAACAATCCTATCCTGTGAAGGCAAACGCAGGCTTTCCTGGGCAGGTCCGATCTGCTGGCAGCAAGGCTTCCCTTTGATGCATGGACACCCAATTGTTGCGACGGCAGACAGTGCATGCCTTGGAAATCTTATCCAGCAGACCACGACACTTAGGTATCCCGAAATTTTGACGCAATAATGAAAACGTGTGCTCCCTTCCAGAATGTTCTGCATGTACTGCATGTGTTTCTCGTACAATTAGTGTACCGGTAGTCACCGGGTGATCACGTGGGAGCAGTATTGGCCCATCATGTGTTGCCGCCCATTCACGGTGCAGTCTTCCTCCAACCATCATCAGGCCATGTTCAGACATGTATGGTTCTAAACGATAAAGTTCACTTCGGCGTGTCAACCTATTCTTTGCAATGAACGTCATTTCTTGTTGGTATCGCTCTCTCTGTATCACTCTAAAAAATGCTGTTTTGGCTTGGCGTAACTCTGACACACTTAACACAGTGATGTTTGCTGTTGGTGTTTTATCTTTGAGGACGTTGATAACCCTCCGGATCCAAGCTACTCCTCTTTGAAGCTGGAGCCAAGAAGATTACTTTTCCCACAGGCACTGCAAGGGTTCTTCGGCCCTGTCTACTATGGAGGTTAGTGAAGTCAAGTCCCCTTTCACTTCAGGATCACCCTCGAGCTCCATGTCAACCTGCGCTGACCTTGGCCAATGCTTGGGAGGTAGCCTTATAAACCTTGGACCCTGGGTCCAACGACAATCCTCCAGCATCTGAGAAGCGGTTATTCCTCGTATTGCATCATCTGCTGACAGTACGGCGGCACAAAGTTCTTGCCGTGGTATGGTTTGTTGCTTTAAAGGTGCTAGTCGGGCTCTGTCACACACAAAGGAACAGTCAATTCTTTCTTCCTGGTCTACAGTCTTCAGGAATGACAACTGCATAAGCTGATTGTGAAGTGTAGCAGAAGTGATGCAACTGAGCAGAAGCAATGCGGCTTAGACCAACTTGTGTATAATAGCGTGGAATCTGGAAGTCCTGCAGCAGTTTCAGGTCCGACAACCAACACTGCCACAAGACTAGGGTGTGGTCAAGAAGAGGTACGTCCCAATTTTCCTGTCTCCTGCACTCGTTCTGGAAGATGATCTTTGCCTTGATGATGAAAGGCCAGATGAATCCCAGTGGGTCATAGACAGAGCTTACAATGCTTAGAAGCCCCATTTTTGTCATAGGCCGGATTTTTACTTTTACCTTTGCAGCAAACTGGTCCTTTTCCAAATTCCACATCACTCCCAGGGCTCTCTCTGTGGGCACATTGCCATAGGTGAAGTCCACTTCCTTGATACCGGTGTGTCGTATTTCCATGGGGATATTGCTGAGTACTCCTTTGTGATTACTTGTCCATTTTGTAAGCTTGAATCCCCTTCTTAGCAAGAGTTCTTGCAGCTGGTGTGCCATGGAGATTGCTTCTTCAGTATCAGTAACAGACACAAGCAAGTCGCCCAAGTAAATGCTCTCTCTAGCTCGGGCGGTCGCTATGGGCAATTCTGAACCATAATTCTGGAAAGTTCTCTGCAGTGAATAAGTAGCACAATATAGACTCTACGCCCCTCCAAAGATACAGTATGCACTGTCATTCTGTAGGCATTAATGGTTCCCGACATGTCTCCATTTGCCCACCAGAGGAATCTTAGGGCATCCCTGTGATCAGGGTGCACCTTGACCTTATGAAATATGGCTTCAATATCAGCCATCAGCGCAATCGGCTCCCGACGAAATCATTTGAGAACTCCAAAGAGTTTGTTGTTGAAGTCTGGTCCTTGAAGTACTTCGTTGTTTTGTGACACTGATTACATTATTACATGTACCTGTATACATTATACGTCAGTTAAAATACACTATTCTGTAAGGTTATTATCCAAATTGCCTTTTACTATACACGTACAGTATGTAGTTCACAACATTTCACCATAATACAAATAATCAACATTCTTTCACTAACAAAAGCGGGCTTATAACTCCACTTAACTCCTAATATAGCTCCAAGTAACTCCTGGTTATAGCTAGTGTGTGTTCACTTGAAGGGGCAGGACGATACTGTCAGCCAGATACTGTCAGCCCTTATCTATGATCATAGCAACGAAATGCTTGCTGTGCGTCCACGAATCTGGCGAGGCGCGGCCACCTGCCACCCCCGATCACATGGTATGTTAGTCAGAGGTCGCGGCTTACGAGGGCGGCGATAACACTATCTATCGCTCGAAGCCCATACAGAATGAACTTATAAACATATGTGGCCAAGTTACTCAGAAAGAAATCGTGGACGAGATAAGAGAGGGCGGTGGTATATTTGCTGTGCTAGCAGATGAGGCTGTTGATGAAAGTATTACTGAGCAACTGCCTCTGGTCGTAAAATTTGTTGACAGTGAAAGACAGATCAGGGAGGAGTTTATAGGGTATTATGAATGCCAGTCAATTACAAGAGAGGCCATTGCAGACATAATAAAACAAGCTGTAAGCTGTATGTGACCTTGGACTTTACTTCAACAAGTGTGTTGGCCAAGGATCTGATGGGGCAGGGAAATAGTGGGACCATGCAAAGGTGCTGCTGCAAGGATCAAGGCAGATTATCTCAATGCCAAATACTTCCACTGTGCAGCTCATAAACTGAACTTATGTGTAGTAAGTACCTGCAGTCAACAAAATATTAGAAACACAATGGACACCATGGGGGATCTTGCAAGATTTTTCAGCTTCTCACCAAAGCGCCAGAACCTCCTTGGCGATAAAGTGGGAGAGTTCTGCCCAGGATCCAAGTGAGAAAAGTTGCTAAACATCTGTGTTACGAGGTGGATAGGCCGCATCGATGCTATTGAGGGCTTTCTGGACCAAGCAGAGCCCGTTCTGAACACTCTGGAGACCATTGCCAACAATCATAGTGGCATTTGGAACTCTGACTCTAAAGTGAAGGCTAATGGTTTATACCGTACAATAGCCACTTTCCAGTTCATCTTTGGTGCCACTCTTCTGGGAGAGGCTTTGAGTCTGCTTAGAGGGTTAACAGCTAAGCTCCAGGCCAAGGCAATTGATATCATGACAGTCTATCGGGATGTGCAGGTTGTAGCTGGGGCAATAAAGGAAATGCGGAAAAAATGTGAAGGACACCCACAATCAGATTTGCAGTAAGGCAGTTGACCGTGCTAATGCACCAGCTACCACTCCAGAGGCCTCCTATAAAATCAACATGACAATACCATTTTTGAACCATTTGAGCCAGGAGCTTGAAAGCAGCCTTCATGAAGACCAACAGGATGTGGTTCAGGGATGGGCAGCCATGACTGAGATGGTGAAAAAACTTCCTGATTGGAAAACTTCATTCAGGCTGTTCTGTAAAATATGAAGAAGTACTTCTCAACAACCAAACGCTGGAAGCTGAGCTTCGACTGTGGGACAAGAAATGCAATCAAATTGACCTGAGAGGTGAACCTCTCCCAGCAACAGGTGCTGAAACTTTATCGGAGTTTGATCCCATTATGTATAGCAACATCTACAAGGCATACCAGTTTTATACGCCCTTCTCGTCACCACATCAGAACGTGAGAGGTGCGTATCTGCGCTAAGATTGAATACTTAAACCCGTAGCACCATGGTGGAGAACAGACCCACAGGACTGGCACCGTTTCATGCCCACTATAACAGAGAGGTGGATGTGGATGCAGTTGTGAAGATATTTGCTCAGTTGCGTCCCAGGAAAATGGCACTGGGAAGATATATGTAACAGTTAAAGTAGGTAAAATTCGTGGCAATCGTGTGCAGTTTATTTTTATCTTATAGGCAAAATGAAAAACGTATGAAAACAGTGCAAATGGTGATGTCTTTATTCTCATTCTTATTGGACAATGTTGTATGTAAATACAGTAATGATGTGAGTCTTTTTCATACTTAGTAGACATTGTTGCATGTCATTAGAAAGGTGTTTCTTTATTACCAACTTAGTAAAAAAAATTACAAGTGATGATTGACTTTATTCTATACTAGCAAAATCGCCGCCCTTCGGGCTGCTCTTTCGCTAGGCCACGCTAGGACGCCAACCTCCGGGAGGCTCCACATTGTCTCACTATAGTGCATTAAGGTAGACCACATTTTTTGTTTTGCTATTTGCAGCAAGTATGTACAGATTTTTGCCAGTTCCCACTCTGGAGAATCCAACATAGAACTGTCCATGAGAGAAGCAAGGAAACACCAGGTTAAGGCCAACCATCTTTAGGGATTGTCCCTGGCTTTTGTAGATGGTCATGGCAAAGCTCACTTTAACCGGGAACTGAAGTCGCTTGAACTCAAATAGCAGGTCTTGCAAGGTCCTGTCCAATGCTTCAAACGCTAACTTGTGAGACATAGTGCATTCATCCCAGACTATGAGGCTGCATTTTTCTAAGAGTTTTGCCTTTGCCGATCCTTTTTTGATGTTGCACACTGGATTCTCATTGTGAGTGAGGTTGAGAGGCAGTTTAAAAGTTGAGTGTGCAGTATGTCCTCCCTCTAGTAGTGTTGCAGCAATGCCTGAGGATGCCACAGCAAGAGCAATTTTCCCCTGATGACGTACTTTGGCCAACGGAAGGTTGATCAGGAATGTTTTTCCTGTCCCGCCAGGTGCATCGAGAAAGATCATACCTCCCTCCTCCGCTTGTATCGCTTGCAAGATCTGTTCATAAGCATTTGCTTGATCAGGCACCAGGTGAGGCTCATTTTCTTCAAGAAAATTCACCAGGACTTCAACTGAGTAGTGTGTCTCTCTGAGCAACTCCCTGTTTGCAACTACTGGTTCTTCTCGGTTTGTGGAAAGCAATCCAAAATCAGTCAGGTTTTATCCGCATAGCTCCATCACGTTGTCTTCCAGCATGATCAGAGCCCTGTTGAACATGTCATCCATGAACTCAATCTCTTGACCAGGATGTTCTCTTCTTGCTTGATGCAGCAGATCCTCTGAAAGACTTTCTTGGTGGTTTTTCCAGAGCTGGCTTGGGTTGGAAAGTCCACATGTAGCAATCATGATGGCAAACAGGTTCTTCATTCTCATTGGCGATTGAGTAGCTGCTGGCTCTTCTAATGTGTCATTCCAGTGACCATCATCTTCCAGTAGGCCAAGGAGATTGCACGCTTCCTCATAAGTTCTGCAGACTTGTCCACTCACTGTCTTGAGTGCTGCATATGAAGTTGGGCCACGGATGTGGTGCAAAAGTAGTCTCAAACAATAGCATTCAAAGTTGTTGGGGTGACCGTGTAGACACGTCCCAAAGCATTGCCTGACTTTATCCCTGGATATCCTTTAACATCGAATCCTTGAGCTCTTCTCTGGAACTTTTTCATTGAAGCCTGCCATATGTAGAACTTGGGTACGTCAACATACAGGAGTATTTGA